CCACTCTCTCTAGTAAAACCACTATCCCTTCCACCCTCATCTGATGAGATTTACTCAGCTGTTTCTGAAGAGCCTATGACTGAGATATCACCTGGGGCAGCGACTGGAGCATTGTGTGGGGCATTGCTTGAGGCAGATACCTTAAAAGACATTGTTTAATGTACACAGAGCCCACCCTCGCCACCCATTTTTGCTTCTGGACCTATAACTAGACTTATGTGACAGCAAACCCCAAAAGGTGAAGTACAAAGTGTGACCCAGAAGAAGGTATGCTACATTCCAAAAGAACTACTTGATTTTTCTAATATATACAGACAGGAACCTGGGGAATATGTGTGAGAATGGCTGTTAAGGGTGTGGGATAATTGTGCAAGAACATAAAATTGGATCAGTCTGAGTTTATTGATACAGGGCCCACTAAGCACAGATTCTTCATTCAATGTTTCAGCTAGAGAGATTAGAAAAGGATCTAATAGTTTATTTGGTTGGTTCACTGAAGTGTGGATTAAGCAGTGACCTACAATAAATCAAAATTGAAATGCCAGACCTGCCTTGGGAGACTATAGAAGAAGGTATCCAAAGGCTTAGGGAAATTGGCATGTTAGAGTGAATTTATCAGACCCACATGTGGAGTGTCCAGAACACACACCTTTCACCACAACTTTGAGGAATAAATCTATGAGGGGAGCTCCAGAGTCCTTGTAGTGTGCTGTGACTGCTAGTTTATGTAAGTCAGATTTGACAGTAGGAACTGCCCTAGATGAATTAAGTCACCTAACTACAATGGACCCCATGGGGTAGGGGCCAGAGCCAGGACTCAATCAACAAAGACAAGATGGGCAAGGTTACTATAATGAACAGCAGAGTCAAAGAAGTAATCAGAATAGTGTGACTCCTATGGACTTATGGCACTGGCTGCTTAGTCATGGTGTCCCTAGGAGTAAAATAGATGGGAAATCTACTAAATATTTACTTGATCTGTACAAGCAAAAGAATTCTGGGTCAAGTGAATGGTAGTCTAACTTGAATCACCAGAATAGTCACAGCCCCTTAATCAAGTCCCAGGCTTGATCTAGTTTACAGACCCACAACCCCTTGAATGAAGGAGAGGTTGGGTCTCCTTGAGGAAGGACCACACCACACTGCCAAAAATTTATACTGTTAATCTTTCTCCCAGCCTTTCCAAGGGATTTATGACCTTTTTATGAGAGTGACTGTTCACTGGGGAAAAGAAAATAATCAGACTTTTCAGGGATTACTGGACACTGGCTCTGAACTGCCACTAATTCCAGGAGGCCCAAAACATCACTGTGGCCCACCAGTCAGAGTAGGGGCACATGGGGATCAGGTTACTAACGGAGTCTTAGCTCAGGTCTGTCTCACATTGGGTCCAAAGTGTCCCTGAACCTATCCTTTAGTGATTTCCCTAGTTCCAGAATGCATAATTGGAATAGACATACTCAGCAACTTGCAGGACCCCCACATTGGATTCATGATATGTGGAGTAAGGGGTATTATTGTAGGAAAGCCACTAGAACTGCCCTCACCTAGGAAAATAGTAAAACAAAAGCAATACTGCATTCCTGGAGGGATTGCAGAGATCACTGTCACTATTAAGGATTTGAAGGATTCAAGAGTGGTGATTCCAACACCATCCCCATTCAACTCGTCTATTTGGCCTATACAAAAAACAAATGGATCTTGGAGAATGATAATGGATTATTGTAAACTTAACAAAGTGCTGACTCCAACTGCAGCTGCTGTTATAGATGTGGTTTCATTGCCTGAACAAACGAATATATCTGGTACCTGGTATGCAGCTATTGACCCGGCTAGTGCCATTTTCTCCATACCTGTTTCAAAGAAACATCAGAAGCAGTTTGCATTCACCTGGCAAGGCCAGCAATACACCTTCACTGACTTATCTCAGCGGTATAGCAACTCTCTAGCCCTATGTCATCATTTAGTCTGCAAGGGCCTTGATTACCTCCCCCTTCCAGAAGAGGTCACACCGATCCATTACATTGGTGACATGTTGATTGGATCTAGTAAGGAAGAAGTATTAATATCAATGACTCTAGACTTACTGGTAAGACATTTGCATGCTAGAGGATAGGAAATTAATCCAAGAAAAATTCAGGAGCTTTCCACCTCAGTGAAATTTCTAGGGGTCCAGTGGTATGAGGCATGTCAAGATATTCCTTCCTTCTAAAGTGAAGGATAAGTTGTTAAGTCTATCCCCTCCTACAAGTAAAAAGGAGGCACAACACCTGGTGGGTACAGAACAAGAAAAGGTTCTGCAACACATTCAAGTTGCCATACAAACCTCCCTGCAACCTGGGCCATATGATCCGGCCAATCCAATGGTGCTTGAAGTGTTAATGGCAGATAGAGATGCTGTTTGGAGTCCTTGGCAAGCCCATGTTGGTGAATCACAGCGCAGACCCATTAGAATTTTGGAGCAAAACCCTGCCGTCCTCTGCAGGTAACTAATCTCCTTTGAGAAACGGCTTTTGGCTTGTTACTGGGCCTTAGTAGAGACTGAACACTTGACCACGGGACACCAAGTCACCATGCAACCTGAGCTGCCCATCATGAACTGGGTGTTGACTGACCCACAGAGTCATAAAGTTGGACTACACAACAACACTCCATCATTAAATGAAAGTCATCTATATGAGATCAGGCTCAAGTAGGATCTAAGGCACAAGTAAATTGCCCAAATGCCCATGGTCTCCACTACTGTCACATTACCTGCCCTCTCCTAGTCTGCACCTATGGCCTCATTGCGAGTTCCTTATGATCAGTTAACTGAAGAAGAGAAAACTCGTGCCGATTAGCAGTCAATCGCTTTAATGACTGTGCCGCTAGGGCTCCTTACATATATATATCTTTGTTTTCTTCCCTCCTTTATTCCATTACTTATGATAAAATATAAGATGTAAATGGGGCTAGTGCATTTTCAGTTCGTATGTTAGTTGTATCATGTCAGCAGAAAGTATGACTTTATAATTGTCTTTATTTAGAGATTATGCATGATTTAAGGAGATGTGTACAGGTGTCAACTTGACAAGGGGTGGACAGTGATGTTTAAGATTATGTGTCACCTTGGCTAGGCCATGATTCTGAGTGGTTTGGTAGATGATATGTAATCATCCTCCATTTTGATTCAATGTGAGCAGCCAATCAGTTGACAGGCCAATCAGTAGAAAGTCCAATCAGTTGAAAGCCAATAGTTCCCTTAGGGGTGTGGCCTGCATCCAATATATATGGATGTTCTGGCAAAGCTCTCTCTGGATCCTGGATACAACTCATCATCCTCTGACCTCCAGCTCTTGGGACATGAGCCAGTAGCCTTCTGCCTGACCTGCCGATTTTGGGTTCGTCAGCCCCTGCAACCACGTGAGTCAGGAGAAGCCTCCAGCTTTATGCTTGACCCATGAATTTGGAACTTGCCAGCCTCCACAACTGCAGGAGCCATTTCCTTGAGATAAATCTCTCTCTATATATATATTTATTTATACATATACACTTCACTGGTTTTGCTCCTCTAGAGAACCCAGCCTAAGACACCAACCATGTGGATCTTTATTTATTTTGAATAACATTCACAGGCTAACTGTACTAATACATCACGTACCTTATAAAAAATATACAAAATAGGAATTAAGACAAGATAAAAATAAACGTAAGCTAATGTTCTCACATCTTCTTCCCACACTCCAGGGATCATCCTGTACACACACTCTGGGTGTGAACACCCTGATCTGGAAACTAGCACCCTGGACAATGCCCTCCTGGGTGGGCACAGGAAGAGCAGGGTTGGACAAATTAGAAATTGTAGAGGATTTCCTTTGTTTTCCTTCTCTATCTCCTGTTGACCAAAACTGAAAAGCATTTTCACATCCAATATGTCCTTTTAATTCACCATATCACGAACACAGGAAATCATGGGTGGGCCTGTGGTGGGCCAGGACTCTCCTGGGTCCGCAACCTTCCACATGATCAAACAGAAAAGTCTCATGGGTGGAGGCGGTCTTAAACAGGGCTCAGAAGGAGAGGCAGTGGTGGTTCAGTGGCCAATATACCTCGTGGGCAGCCACCACCCATCTGTCTGTGGAGGCTTGTGTGTTACTTATGATGGAGCTTCCAGACTAAGAAGAACTAGGAAGAAAGACCTGATGATCTACTTCTGAATATCAGCCAGTGAAAACCTATGGATCACAATGATCTGATCTGCAACCAATCACAGGGATGTTGTAGGACTGAGCAGCGTTTTGTTTCCTTGTGCATGGGGTTGCCATGAGTCAGGGATGACTTGACAGCAGCTAACAACAACAGGGCTCAGCAGAAGGGAATGACCAGCAAAGGGATGGAAAGAGGAAGTTCCAGAGGGACTAACGACCTGAAAGCTGGAGGGAAGAAAGAACGAGAGTCTGGGGTGAGGCTTTCCTGGGCTAAAGCAGAGAAACCGAGCGGAGAGCAGGGCCAGGGTGAGGGCATCTTTGGTGTCGAGGAGAGGAAGGGGACTCATGGCACCCCATGTGTTTCAGAGTAGAACTGTGCTTTATAAGGTTTTTAATGGCTGATTTTTGGAATTAGATCTCCAGGCCTTTCTTCCTAGTCTGTCTTAGTCTGAAAGCTCTGCTAAAATCTGTTCAGCATCATAGCATCACACAAGCCTGCACTGACAGACAGGAGGTGGCTGCATATGGGGTGCATTAGCCAGGAATTAATTGAACCTGGGTCTCCCACATGGAAGGTGAGAACTGTACCACTGACCCACGATTGCCCCTCCTTCACTCTAGGTATATTGAAACACCAACCTTTCAGTTAGCAGCAGAGCACACTAACGATTTGTCCCACCCTCTAGTGGGAAGACAGAGGGAAGGAAGTAGATAATTAGGACCCTGGGATTGGCGGGAAGGGAAGAAGGAGTAGAATGAGGGAAGAGAAGGAAGGGTTCACACCTTAAGCCTCCTCATCTAGCGTGGGACTGATCAGCCTCGCACTGGCTCCTTATCTGAGCCCTCAGGAGGGACCTGTCCTCTGTCCAGGCCCCCACAGCCTTTGGTCCCAAAGCCCTGAAGCCCATTCTTGAAGGCCCTCCTGAGCCTGGGGCTACTGAACAGCAGGATGGTGGAGTGCAGGGAGACGCCGGCGTAGGTCACCACCTGCCAGGCAAAGTACCAGTGGCACTGCAGGGGCATGAACTTCATCACGGCCACAAGCACAGATAGGAAGTAGGATGTGTAGAAGACAAGGAAGAAGCCCAGCGACTTAAGTGCCATGATGTGTGCCTGGGTGCTGGGGTTGCCCGGCCGGGGCCTGCCCGACTGCATCTGGTGCAGATGCCTGCGCAGAGAGAACATGAGCAGAGCGGTGGATGCCAGGAACAGCAGAAAGGGCGGTGAGAGAGCCAGCATCTCGTGGAACAGGAATAAGTTCCCATATAAGATCCTCGCCCAATCAGCCCAGCTGCCATTGGTGTGGAGAGGCTGGGAGACCTGCATAAGAGTCACAATGGTATTTCCAGTGGCCGAGGGAATGGTGGTCAGGACGGAGATGGCCAGGGAGCCCAGCAGCAGCCTGGGCACAGAGCAGGAAATCCTCCACCTGAGCCAGAGGAAGGTGGGGTGGGAGAAGGAGGCAATCTTCACACAGTAGAAGACAGAGAGCAAGGCATTCAGCCAGAAGCTGAGTGTGTTGCTGAAGTCCCAGAGGATGTCCAAATAGTGCACTCTGTGGCCGAAGTTGAGGATGACCAGAAAGTTGTTCATGAAGGTTATGCCATGCAGGCTGAACCGGGAGGCAGACAGGCAGGCCACAATCATGTCCCCCTTGGGCAGAGCCTGGCCCTGCACCCCTTCCCAGCCCAGCACGGCAGCCATGATGCCGTTCTGCAGCATGGCAACCAAGGACTCCAGGAAGAAGATGGCCATGAAGAACAGCGTGGGCAGGGAGGGCATCTTATCCCAACCTGAACTCAGAACACATCCACAGGCAGAACAGCTCTCAACCAGCAGACCCAGAAACGTCTCTCCTCAGTCTGGCCCAGAATCACAGCTACTGCCCAGGACTGGAGAAGCGGCTCCCCCTGAGCTCCTCGCATGCAAATCACTCCATCTCATTGACACCAGCCTCTATTTGCGTAGCCTGAATTTGCCTGTTTCTTATCTGAGCAGATGTGAGGAAATGCCAACAGAACAGAGTCTGGGGGATCAAAACGCCCATCTGTGCACATTATTTCTCTTTTGTTATTATTATGGTAGAATATATAATAAAACATTTGTCATTTCAACCATTTTTAAGTGTAAATTCAGTGGCGTTAACCACATTCACCATGTTGTGCAACTATCATCACTAAGGGGTTTGCACATTATTTCTTAACCTTACTATTCTGTTCTGAATTCTTCTTAAGAGATTCCCTTACCCCCGTTTTCGTCCCCAAAGAAACCTCCATCAGCCACAAACCAACCCTGACCATCCATGTCCTGGGCTAATATTTGATCCAGTAGCCTGTGTATACTGTAATAAGCCCTTTTCCTGAATAAGTGGAGGTCTCCAGGTGGTGGAAATGATTTGTGCTCAGCTACTAACCTAAAGGCTAGCAGTTCAAACCCATCCAGCTGAGCCGTGGAAGAAAGACCTGGTGATCTGCTTCCATAAAGATCACAGCCCAGAAAACAGTGGCAGTTCTACTCTGTAACATACGATGTTGCTGTGAGTCAGAACGGACTTGATGGCCACAGGTTTGTTTTCCTAATAGGTGGAGGAGGAAGGAATCCATACCTGCAAGGCATGGAGCCATGACTCCAGATACCCACCCTTCTGAATGCTCTCGGTGCCCAAGGCCCCATGGCCAACTCCCTATTGGAGGTCAAGAAGACTCCAGTTGAAACATGGATGTCCCTGATGTGCTAACCTCGAATCTGTTAGCCACTAACACCTTCTCAACAGTGTGTCTGGAAAACTAAAATTAATGAGCCCCTGGTGGGTAATTGCCCAACAACAACTGTCTCCTTTGCCATGAGACCAGAAGAACTGAATGGTGCCCAGATACCATTACCAGGGGGGCATGGTCAACATGGCAGAGTAGTTAGATGTTTCCTATATCTCTCTTACAACAAAGACCTGGAGAAACAAGTGATTTGATTCTATGTGAATATCTGGGAGGCCTGAACAAGTCTGAGTAATACGGGAGAGGGAGACCACCTGGAAGAGGTGAGGGGGGCTAGAGCTGCGGTGGCGAAACTGCAGTGCCACAGCCACGCCGGTCCGTGGTGAAGCAGGCAAACAGCTGTGCTGTGCATGCGCTCGGGAAGCAGTTTACACATTGAGAGAGACCCGGTGGCAGAGATTCTGCTGGGACACTCCGAACCAGTGAAGAGCAGCTCCCAAGAGGATAGGATAAGTGCGTGCGTGCACCCTTTCGCAAGGATTAAAAAAAAAAAAGCCCTTTTGGGAAAAATCTCTCTCCCTTTTACCTCCTCCCTCTGTGCTTTACACCAGGAGTCCACTGGGCCGGAAGTAGATCCCAAAAGGTGCCCCGACCCATTCTCCTGGCCTTGGAGAGGGAACAAATAAGTTGCTGGCTCCCCTAGGCCAGGAACACAGGGTTGGCACAGCTCCTTTGCTGGGCACAGATATCAGGGGTCCACAGACTCTGAGCGCCTTACACCGCTGTATAGACTTGTGGGGACCCATCTCAACAGCATTAGTCCTTGCTGCCACAGTACAACAGGGCAAACACCTGAAGTTTAACTTCAACTGCTTCAGCTGTGAACTGGCAGATCTGTGACCCTCGAAACAGCCCTGCCCCTTAAGTAGGAACTTTTATCGATCTGTAGCAGGGGCTTGAGGACTGGTAATATCACCTAAAGTGCCTAGTCACCAGCTACAGGAGTTCAAGAAAAAGTGGTGCCCTCGAGTCTTTACAGCCAACAGAGTGGGGAGCTCATAGTCTGGCTGCAAAACACACCTACCTACTCACCCTAGAGACACACTTTCCTCTCAGACTCTCAGGGGCAGCCGTCAGCCCCCTGCCTGGCTCAGCCCGTGATCCCCTACCACAGCCAGAGTCCAGTGCCTGCACCAATCACCCATGCCTCTCTAGGACTGGCGGTGACAGCCTGCATCACACACTTGGTGACCAACTGCCTGAACACCTGAGCTGAACCCATATAGGAAAATTTAATGGACTCCATACTTACTTACAGAACTAACTGCCTGGTGACAGGACTTTAGAGATCCAAACGTGTCAAAAATCAAAACTAGTGCACACAAGCAGCCTATTTGGGCATATCAAAACAAAACAAAATAAGAAGCTAGGTCTCACTAAGCAAATACAAAATAAAATTATAATAAATTATTGACGGCTCGAAGACAAAAGTCAATATCAAGTCACATAAAGAGGCAGTCCATGATGGCTTCAGCAAGCTCCCAAA